CCAAGAGTTGGCGGTGGGTAGTGATGACTAGCTGCCTTCCCTCTAGTCTTTCACAGCTAAATCAGGGACGGATAGCAAACGTAGCCCTCGTGTAGCTTTGCGCGAAACTCAAAACAAACCAAACAATACAAAACCACTTGGTTTGATGAGAGATTCAGAACATCAATGATACAAACCCATTTATTTATTCAAGGGCATAATGTACATAACACACAAAGTTATCAAACGAACTAACAGAATTTCAGAGTGTATTTATAAACACATTGATTACCAATCAAAAGAGGTAATTAGTAGTTAGATCTTTCTTGGAATAATGTGTACGGTTTTGGGATTATATACAAATAATGGTGATGACTTATTATAAATGGTTCAGAGTATGGTTGCTGAGATTGAAGGGTTATTCTGAGAGATAGGTTAAATCATATTTCTCTGGAAGAAAAAAAAAACAAGGGTAAAAGGTTTTTTTGAGATAATAGGACTAAATAAATCTTAAGGTTTGGAAAATGGCAGGTTAGGCTCTGGTTAAGATCTCTTTAGTTTTCTAACGTCGTGTTTCCCTTATGACCAACACTTTACAGTAGTTAAGAGAGAAATTGACGATTTCCTGAAAAATAGGAGTGGATTTAAGTTTTTACTTTTTTAAAGGCTAAGGAAATCCTTGAAGGGCTAAATAGTCCTAAGTCCGTGTGTATTATGTTAATGTGAGCATTTTTAAATAAAAGCTAAGCTTATTCTTAATAATATTTCTTTGGAATTTTAAATTAAATTTGAACAATAATTCAATGTAATTTTCGATAGGTGGTGGATTATAAGTTATATTTCAAACACAGATGGCGCCACCAATTTCTCTGTCATTTTTATTTTTAAAATTAGATCTTCAATAACATTTTTCCCAAGTTTGTGATTTTTTTTTGAAGATATTTTAAGCATATTTTTTAGATTTAATATTTGTCTGTCTGTTTAGGTGAAAGAGTTCAGGTTTCTTTACCATTCAATTAATGTAATTTCAGTCGCATCTCATTACGTTTTGACCAAAGAGTTAGTTTGACCTTTGTACATGAACAATTAGAGATATTCCACAAAATTAATCAATCATCGTTTTATTTAATCACATTAATAACCGAATAAGTAGTTTTTAAAACTTTTGATACTACACATTCTGATGTGACAGCAATAATTAAGTTTTTTTTTATCACAAAAGGTTTATATAATCTCAAAATAGCTCTGGGAAGGTGGTTATATTAAAATTTTATTTTCATTTTATTACTAATAAAGGCGATTTGAATTAAAATCTTCTTGACAGCTGAATCCTTCATATCCAGGTGGCGCTTTAGGGTTAGATGAACCTCTTGCGTGGAGAAAATTATAACTGAAAAAAAAAGCTTCAAAAGTCAATATTAACTATTTTAATGAGAGGAAAACTCAATATTATATATCTAATGAAATACAACAATAACCAACAAACAAAAGTTAACTTTAGCATCTAAAATAAAGAATAAATAACTAAATCTTAGTATTTCTTAAATTTGACAAATAGACCAAAAAAGGACTTCGTACACATAGACATTATTTAATTACAAATAGTCCGTGGCGTTTCTAGGATGTTTAATTTCTGGGCAAATAATTAGTTGGGGTAACAGAAGGGGGTAAGGTGTTATTAAATACAAAAGCAATAAGCGTTTTTGTTTTGCCTTGAAGATGTCTATTTATTCTTTTTAATTATCAGAAAAGCCAAAATTATCATAGGCTCTCTTTTAAATCTTCGAGGCGGCCTGATGTTATTTCAAACTACCATTAAACCCACTCCCAAGCCCCTAGGTCTCATCAGATTGGAAACACATTTTTCAGCTTTAGTTACATAATACAACTGCTCCCACCTACAAAAAAAGGAGGGGGGATGAGAGAGAAAATCATGGCAGTAAAAATCAAACCGTAGGGGGAATTTACAAGTCTTAAAATTACTAAATCCTGATAGTTCAGAAGAGGGGGAGGGATAGAACCCTCAAATGGGGAGTCTAACTTCTATAAGTAATAGAATTACATACACTTTTCCAATTAAAATCTAATTGCAAATTTCGCTCTTAGAAGAAATGTGAAATTAAGAGCAGATTTATTTGTTCCAATCCGTAACGACGACATTCATCTAAAGAATATCATTTACTGCTCCAAACCGGTTATTGTTAGTCTGATGTGAAAAGCTCACCAGAACAGAGAGATATTATAAGATCTACCAACACTTGGAGGAAAAATGGAGTAAAACCAACTTCTAAGTTATTATACTTCAAGCTAAGTTATCGACTTTTGCTTCAAAATTATGGCATACGCAAGCAAAAAACTGAAAGGTCTGTTATGGCATACCAAGCAAAAAACTGAAAGGTCTGGCAGGGTCTACTGGTTAGAATTTTAAGACTGTCAACCAGGGGTTTTTTATGGTTCGCTGCTTGTTGTGACAAAAACGCTTTTCACACTTTGGAGCCACGAGTGTCCTATAAGTTTGAAGGGGAAAAGTCCCATTATTTGGTCAGACAAAAGTTGACGGTGGGTATTGATAACTAGTTGCCATTCCTATAATCTATCAATTCAAAGTTAGGGAAGACTATGCGCTGAACGTCTTTGGGTACTTTTGCACGAAATGCTAAATCAAACAAATACCAAAACTGTGGCAAAAACATACTGAAGTAGAAACAGAAACTATCAATAGTCGAACAGCAGTGAAAACAGATAATGTAATCATTGCAGAGATAAAATATTGTGAGAACAAACAGTGATTGTTCCATAGTCATTCTATTATGAGATTAGAGGTTGTGATATCCTAGGGATACACAGCTGTAACAACAAACAGTGACTGTGCCACAACTAAACTAGCATAATAGTTATTGTGACGATCCCAGGGATACACAGTCACGGCGACACATATACACACACATGCACTGATTGTTCTCCAACCACAGTGCTATAACAATAGACATCTTTCGATGACGAGGAACCCACTTTGAGACTAATAATGGCTGGAGACGGCTTAAATGGGTAACGAAGAAAAACTTTAATACAAGTTTACAAGTTTAATACAAGTGGTACCTGATGATGACAAAACCTTGTCGAAACGTTGTACCTTTGCTGTCATGTTAA